ATTCCAGACCAACACAATTAAATGAAGACTGCAATAAAGGGAGTCATGCAATTTCTCGGTTTCTTGATGCATATAAAAGAATAAAGTCATGCTACATTATACTTTAGTAATTAAATGTGTAGTCGCCTTACGAAAAAGTTTGGACTATTTTGAGAATTACCCAAACCCCACATCCTTTAAAAACAGTTAAAGGCTGTATTTTTCCTGTTGTTCTGCAATCTGTTTGTATTTTACTTAGTATATTCTGGATATCTGTTCATGCCAGTACCGACCGATGTGCCCCACTCTTCTTTAAGACTGGAATATGAACTTATTTTATCAACTTAACCAACCACCCTCTGACTAATGTGCCTTTTTTCTTTCACTCCCTACAATTTTCTTCTATGCCTCTATGGGCACTTTTAGCTGTTTATCCAGATTATACTCACTCAAAGCACAACTGTTAGATCAAAGCAAGCTTCGAAAACATCTTCTAGATGCTGCCCTGTCATCCATCCCACCCGGTGCACAGATTTGTACTCCTGGCAGCAGTATCTAAGAGAACCTGTGTCTTGTGCCTACTGGGCTGATGATTTTTAAACATAATTACGAAAATACAGGTCACACCTCTGCTTAGACATGCCAAAGGGTTGTCCCAAAGATTCCACTGTTTAATACTGGACATATGGTGAACACTCAAGTGTCACCCGTTCCAAGCCCATCTGCTTAGGCTATATAACATGTGAGAAACAGATGGAAGTAAGTGGGCCATCAGCTGGGATTTCAACACCCTTCTAGTGAACCGAGAAGAAGAATAATAATGATATTGGTGATGACAACAAGTCTTTCTAAACTCGGTCAAGTTCAAAACTAAGTGGTTTTGCTTTTATTACCTCAATCTCAACACTCCTGTGAAGTAGGTATTATTATTTTATAGAAGGCAGTGGAGGCTCAGATTGGTAAGGCTATCTTCCCAAAGTTACCAGTGGGAGGGGTATTGATGGTTTGGGTGGTAAAGTGGTGGAATTTTCTCTTCTGGAGTGGGAGGCCTCGGTTTGATTTTCAGCCAATGCCCGTCATGAGCAGTCACCATGACCACTAACCTGTGGGTGAAAGCCTGGGTGTGTCTACAATGCCAACATTTTCAGTAGAGCTTTCAAACTGGAAGGACTAGGGGGGAAAAGCTGGGTGATCTGCTTTAGGAAATCAGTGAACACTTTATGGATCACCACGGTCTGCTCCCCCCAAGATCAGGGGGTGACACAGCACATGCAGTGCTCTGTTCTGTTGTGTGTGGAGTCACCACAGGCCAGGGCCTGACTGTGGTGGTGGAGTGACAGCTTGAACCTAGGTCTGCTCAACGCTGAGGCTCATGGTCTGGACCACTCTCACTGCTTTCCTTTTTAATATTTTATTGTGTCTTTGGTGAAACCTTACACAGAAATAGATGCTCCCCATCCAACAATGTCTAGGCAAATTGTTCAGCAACATCAGCTGTGTTCTTCACAGTGTGTCAATATTTTCATTATTTACATTTTGGTTGTTTTTTTTTCTAGTAATCTAGCCTCCCGGCCCCTTACCTTCTCGTCTTTGCTGTAAAATCCCTGTTGACCATCAGGTCTCATACAGATGATCAGTTTGTTCTATTTGGAAGATGCAGTCCCCTCTGCACCTTTTCCCCCAGGCTGTCTTACCCCATCACCCTTTCACATGAAATACTAACAGTCATTTGGGTATAGATACGACATTGGTAGTTACAGTATTGGCCCTGGAAAAGACAAAAGATTTTGCCCTCAGGGCATCTACATCCAAACTTAAATACTACCTCTTAGGAGAAAAGCCTAGATTTATGAGTGGCAGAGGGCACGCTGACCCAGTGCCTCCTGTGCTTAAAGGCAAGCTGGTCTAGGACTGCAACGTGGGACAACCATTGACGTAAGAAATGGCTCCAATATCATGCACCATTAATCCCACTGTGGTACAGGGTTTTATCTGGAGAACTCCTCACTGGTCCCCAAAGTCATAAAGACCTGCTCTCTCCTATGCTACCAGGAAGTAGTTTTATGGGAGAGTGTGAGGCACCCAGTTTATACCAGCCTGCCGTGTAAACAAGCTAATGGTTCTTTACTGAGAAGACTGTTTGGAGCCTTTAACCAGGGCAGACTTGTGATCAGGCCTAGTCATCGATTCAATCCACCACGAATCCAAGAAGGAATTCATATCATTCCAAATCAACTGTTCGGCTGTCTCCGCCCAGCAGGGGCAAGAATAGAGATGGAGGCGATAAATAAAACCAAGTTCTGATTCTCACTACCTCCTTCCTCTAGATAAATGTGTGTGTGCGCGTTCTCTCTCTCTCTCTCTCTCACACACACACACACACACTGAAAAAACCCAATGCCATCAAGTTGGAACCAACTCATAGCTGATGCTCCAGCAGGTTTTCAGAGGTTGTAAATCACACAGGAGTAAAGAGCTCATTTTCTCCCACGGAGCAGCTAGTGGATTCGAACCGCTACTTACCCATTAGGACACCAGACCTCCATATATGGACATGGAATGTTATTCCTTTTCCACGGCTGGAAACATATATTTGGAGCTAACTCTATGAGATTTGATACACATTGATGGTGTAAAGGGGCTTTAGGCCTTTTGTTCATGGGGTCGCTCTGAGCTGTTCTCCACTCAAAGGCAATCAACAACCACCACCACCACAACAACTCAAGCATCAAACCTCTCTGGCAGTTCAAATCTGCCAGCACGAGAGAAAACAGGCAATCCTCTTGTGTGCTATTTACTGTTTCAGAAACCCAGTGGCAGGTCAGAACTGAATAGGTCCTGACTCAATGCCTGTAAAAGGAGTTTTATTATTCAAAGTGCATCTACTTTCCCTAAGCTAAGCACAAGTTAAAAAGTAAAATCTCAAAGTTCTCAGTCTCATAAAAACGTGAGTACGTCATCCTGAGTCAGAACAAAAAGGGTTGAGAGGTAGCGCACCCCACACAACTCTGGCTGTCCCTGAGCTCTAGCCCCCTGCTCTCAGTGGGCCCGCTGTGCCTCATGCAGCTCTGTCTCCTCTAACCAGATACAACAAGGGCGGTGCTCTTAGCTGCAATCAAGGGGGCTCCAACGAAAGGAGCCCCCACGGACAACAGAGTGAAATGGTGCCTGGTCCTTCACCATCGTCACAGGTTTTGCTATGTCCAAGCCCATTGCTGGGTGGGCCCCTGTGTACTCTGAGGGTCTTCCAGCCTAAGGGGCTCACCTTCCAACACTGAAACATACAATGCTCTGCTGTAATTCACTGGGTTTCCACTGGTTGATGGAGGCAGAGTGCCAAGCCTTTCTTCCTAGTCTGTCTTTGTCTGGAAGCTGTACTGGAACCTGCCCACCCTGGATGACTCCGCAGATATTTGAAACACTGGTGACAGAGCTGCCACATACAAACCACAGCAGTGGGTGGGGGAATGACAGACAGGCTGTCATTTTGTCTTAAAAAAGCAGGCAGCATACTCAAATGCTCTTAGGGGTTGTTAGGGGGAAAAGGAGATGTCAGGCAGGTGGGAAGGTAGGACCACACTCATTCAGAAGCCAGGGAAGGGGATGGTGTTGGAGGAGAGGAATAACAATTATTGCAAACTCTTACAAGGTTTCAAAAGAAGCTAAAACACCACCACCATATACCTAGTTGTCCGGGATCCTAGTTGTCTGGGCTCCTCGCTGGCTCTGAGTTTTAAGAGCTCCTCCTTGGGTCTGCACTGATATATACGCAGATCCGTCAAGTCTCATACCAGAGCTAGCCTGAATACCACATATGAAGCTAACAGAAGATCCACTCTACCGTCCTCCACCTTCCAGCTGTTGCTGTTGGATGGCTGCATGAAACATAGGCCATCCCATTGAATGTTAGCCTGGTGTTCACCAGCCTTGACAGCCACGCACACTGGCCTCGACCAGCTGTCCTTCAAGCCTGGTCCACCTTTTAGGGACCAGCTGATTCCACAACCACATGAGCCATTTCCCTGAGGGTTTCTGAGTTCTTGGGAGAGTCTCCATTGAATTACAGAACCCAAATACACAGATGGGGGCAAGAAGGCTAAGAAGAACAAGCAGAAGCATTAACTGATGTCAAGAGATGATAGAGGGGCATGGCAGGTTGGACATTTTTAAACCTCTGCATTGTAAGAGCCAGTTTTGTACCAATCCTTAAAAAAAAAATTACACACACACACACACACACACACACACACACCTTCTTTGGTTTTTCTTTTCTAGAGAACCCTATGTAAGATGGTAGTGCCTAATTTGGCAAACATCACCCCTAACATTTGCTTCTTCAGATAATTTTAAAAAGTGCTGGGGTACAGTGAACTTAGACTAGAGTATGAATACTGATGCCTAAAGTGATGGCCTTGCACTGATCTTGTACTCCAAGCCACTGATTGGACAGGAAATGAAACGGAGAAGTAAAATAATGCACCTTAAGAAATTGCACAATATCCCCCTGCCCCCTTCTGCCCCCACTCCTAAACTCAAGTCCACCAATTCCTAGTCTAGGGTTTTTTCTACTCTATCAGGTGTCTTCACATATTCACATATTCTTAATCTCATATATAGGACAAGGAGTGTTATTCCTTTCCCAAGATTTGGAAGTAAAATGAAATGTGCTTGGGAGTTGTGTTTAAAAGGAAGAGTTAAAGAGAAAACAGTCTCCCTCTCCAATCTTCTCTACTTCTGTAAAGCAAGAGAAAACAAACCATTTCAAGAATATAAAGACATTCACAAAACCAAGAGTGTAACAAGAGCCTACAAATCACTGGTTATGCCAGCAATCTTCCTTGCTTGAACGGAGGTGCTAAACATAGAACCACAGAGCCTACGAAAGATCTGCAAGCTCCTTAATCAACTCACAGTGTTCAATTACCAGGTTCTCCTCAATTAACAAGAAGCATCTGAACACAGAGGCCAGGGAGTCAGACAGATGGCTGAGGCCATGGTGGAGGTTCCCCAGAGAAACTGACCTGAACTGGGTAAAATATTGCCTGCAGGGTAGGAAGGGTCTCAGTGAAGAAGTGCTCCCAGACTTCAGCCAGAACCTCAATGCGATTTTCACCTACATGAGGGCGAGAAGATGGGAAGAAAGGGGAGAAAAAAAAGAACCTGTCATTACTTGCAGGAGAGGCAGGGAGCCAGTTGTAGTTAAAATATAAAATTGCACATGCCCGAAAAGATACAGGCAGAAATTAAGGCCCAAGGCAGTGGGGCAAAGTCCTTAGAGTCTTCTTTCCTGGGCAAGGCCATCCGCTGGGGTCTTCAGGGGTCCAGCAAAGATCTCTTGCCTTTTGCTCATTCTGGATCCTCGATCTGGCTCACCACCACTTGAGCCCAGGTTCTTTGGATCTGAGCCAGCGGCCTGCCATACTGCCTGTTTATCTGGGATTCGTCAGCCAAAAAATATTCATCAGAGGCAAAAATACACTCAACCTCACAATGATTTATGGTAAGATCTAAACTGAACCGGCTTCAGATGTGAAGAGATTTGGAGAAGGGAGGAAGGCGAGAACACTCTACTGTTATTTGATCTACAAGGTAGTTCAAGTGTGATGTTCACAATGTCAATTTCACGTATCAATTGAACACATTGCCACAAATGATGGTAATACATCGAAAAAAAAAATGTTTCTAAGCACGGTCGTCAATTTAAAAGTATGTGGCAATGTGTTAACTGGGCTACAGAACCCAGTTGTTCAGTCAAACAATAGTGTAGATGCTGCTGTGAAGGTTCATTGTAGAAATATTTACACAGTTGGTTGATTATAAGTAGAAAAGAATTCTTAGTAATGTAGGTGGGGCTCATTCAATTATTTCAAGGTCATCAGAATGAACATTGAGGTTTCTTAGATAAGGAATTTTGCCTTAAGACTACAACATAGAATCCTACTTGAACTTCTTGATTGAATCCTACAACTGAGTTTCTTGCCCAAGAACAGGCCCTACAGACTGTGGACTGCCAGCCATATAACTGAATAGTCAATTCCTTAAAATCAATAAATCAATCAATTAGTATCTCCTTCCACATCTATCTGCCCATTCATACCCAGAGCTTTCTTTATAGCTATAGATACAGGGATATTCATAAAAACTCAATTAAGCGCACTGTTGTTGAGGCAATTCGCATTTGTGGGGGACCTGTGTGTATCAGTGAAGAACTTTACAGGACTTCCCATGGTGAATGGGCTGTAGACAGCCAGGACAGGTCATTTTTGTAAGGCCCCTCTGGGCAGATGTGAACTGCCACATTTTTTACTAGCAGTCAAGCACCGAAACAGTTTCTATTACCCAGGGACACATTCCTTTTCTAATACATCTAACAAATACATACATTGCTGTTGCTAAGTATTATCAAGTCAAAACGGACTCATAGCTGACCCTTCAACAGGTTTTCAGAGGCAGAAAACTACATGGGAGGAGATTGACCCATCTTTCTCCTGAAGAGCCGCTGGCAGATTTGAACTAATTGAATCGTGTGTGTGTGTGTGTGTGATAGATAGATAGATAGATAGATAGATAGATAGATAGATAGATAGATAGATAGATGGTTGTTTTCTGTGGAGTCAAAACCAACCCATAACTGACCCTCCAGCAAGTTTTCAGAAGCAGTTAATAGCACAGAAGGAGATGTCTTATCTTTCTCCCACAGAGCAATTGTTGGATTTGAACTGCATGCCTTTGGAATTGCAACACAGCTTCTTGTCATTAGGCCACAGAGCTCCCTATGTGTATGTGTGTGTGTGTGTACATATAATAATATATGTCATTGTTGTTGTCTACTGTCGAATTAGAACCGACACACAGCTGACCCCCCAGCAGGTTTTCAGAGGCAGTTAATCTCACAGGAGATTACCCATCCTTCTCCCATAAAGCAGCTGGCAGATTTGAACTGCATGCCTTAGGGATTGCAGAACAGCTTCTTACCACCAGGCCACCATAGCTCATGAAGCCCCTCTACAATTATATTTACATTTATAAATATTCATAGGGTTTCTGGAGGCATGTTCCTTAGGAAGTGATGACTCTTCTGCCTCCAAATATATACATAAATATATATGCATATATACATATATACACATGCATACATATGTAAATATATACATGTGTATATATATTGCCCATCCTTCTCCTGTGGAACAACTGATGGATTTGAACAATGTGCCTTTGGCATTACAACATAACTTCTTACCACTAGGCCACCAGAGCTCCTATTTCCAAAATGTCTGATTAATATGTACAATAAATGTGAAATTAGGCAGGAAATCTCACACAAAAATATGCAGAAATGGCTTTCTCCATCCCAACCCATAATATGGAACAGCATTTTAAAATTATGTAATAAATTACTATCATATGAGTAGATAGTAATAAGTTACTACCACATGAGCATTTTAAACATATTACTGTACTAGTTTTCTAGATTTCTCATGAAGTAAATTTCATTATCCCCTATTTTACAGGCTCAGAGAGGTCAAATAACTGTCCCAAAGTCACATCAGCTCATAAGTAGTCAGAGCTGGGCTTCCAGAACCCATGCACTTGACCAACCTCATCAAGGGGGTTCACAAGCACAGCTATGTACTGCTCTGTTTTTTAAAGCAGCTTCAGTCTGCATTTGAACAGTCCAATGAGGGAGGGAGAAAGGAGGCCCAGATCCTCTCACCTCCTCCACTGCATTGTAGTCATGGGGGGCAACATTCCCTTAAAGAGGTCACCTGCAAAACACAGGGCCCATCTCTTGACCTTGGCTGCCTTGTCCTAGGAGCAGGAAGCCTGACCTCTGGCCAAGTACCAGTCCCAAGCAGATGTGTGCGGTGGCCCAGTGCCACCGGAAGGAGATATGAGTCATTCTCCACCTGCAGGGAAAGCTAAGCAGAGTCAGCCTAATGACCTAGATAGCAGAGCTGATTGGGCACTGTCTTTGTTCATCGGAGGCCAAGAAACTGGGTCAGCCAAGATTAGACACAGCGAGAGGCATCTGGCAAAGCGTGGCCAGTTGGAATGAACAAATTCTGAAAGACTCATCTAGCATATTCCACTATTCACTTAATGGACAATAAAAACAGTGGCTACAGAGAGAGAGAAGAAAAACCTCCACAACACACAAGGGCCCAACTGGTAGCTAGCAAGGTCAAAGATGTGCAGATGCGGAGAGGTCACGGTGAAATACACTGGAGGAAAAGGCAAATTCACAGCCCCTGCACTTTTGCTGGCAAAGTGCTTATCACACTTGGCTGGACTGCCAACTTCTTCTCTTTCTCCTCCACTGGAATGAGAAACAGTGCTGGGCTTTGTCTGTACCTGGCTGCCTTTGTGTCTCTAGTCTTAGCTAGACATAGCAACAAGTTCATTTAAAAACTCTTCACTGAGCGAATGAATGTCAAATAGTCAGTGTGTTGGTTTTTGCAGATGCGAGGGCAGGAAGGTACCAAGAGGTTATTACGTAACAACCCAAACAGTACAGAGCAGGACTTAAAAGTTAACGTGTGGGATGAAAACCAAGCATCTAACCAGCATGATCCAGGAGAATCTGACTTCTTCTGTATGGTTATCATCTGTATTTGCCTCAAACTTTGGACTCTAATGGTGTAGATTTTACTTCTGTGCTGACCTGACTCTGCCGTTCTCTCTGTGTGTGTGTGTGTGAGAGAGAGAGAGCAGGATTTGTAAGATAGTGTAGAACAGACTGTAGAGATGCCAAGGTTGAGATTTTCACATAGGACTTGGCTTTAACAGGATTTTCTGTGTATTTTTCTAGTATTATATATTTAGGACATGTTATACCATTTGTTTTTGCAAGCAGGAGTGGCATCCACTTCCTAAACAACATGCTTCTGAAAACTATGAACTTTGAGAACAGGCAACAGATATAGAAAGGCTTCAGGTATTTTGTTCATAGGGTCACTATGAGTCATGTTTGACTCGACGGCAATCAACAACCACCTCCCGTACATGTCACAAGGCTTTTGCACATGCTAATCCGTCTTCCTAGGGAATCTTGGTTGCAGAGTGCATGGACTGCTAACCAAAAGGTTGGTGGTTTCAAATCTACCAGCTGATCCACAGCAAAAGATGGGCAGTCTCCTTTCAGACAGAAGGTTTCCATGAGTTGGAACCAAGTTGGTGGCACTGGGGATTTTGTTTTAGTCTATCTGCCTAAACTGCTCTTTCTCCACCTTCACTGCCTTATCTGCTGCTGTGATCCTGGTAATTTAAGCAGGTGCCACCATTTCCGCAGGATGTCTCTTTCTCCATAGGAAAAAAGTCTTTCACTATGATGTCTGTTCTTAGTACATGTCCCAGTTGTAGATTTTTATTTGTTGGGAAGTTGGTTGCTATCTGTCTCCTATCAGTGAGTATCTATCAGTGAGCTCCACAAAGGCCTGGAATTCTTTGATGGACACAGTCCTGGTCATCTAAGCCCCCAAGGCTTAGAAAAGGACCTGCCACATGGTAGAGGGTTAGTAGGTGTTTGCCGAATGACTCCATCAGTGCCATTCTAATGTCATCATTCTCTTTTCAAATGGACATTATGCTAGTCCACTGCACAGCTGGGTCAGGAGTGTCAAAAGGGCCCATCGGAAATGTTAGTTCATCCTGCTCCTTAAAAACAAGGTGCATCCCGACGTCCAGGTAATACAAGGAAAGGCAGCTCCACTGCTTTTGCTGACAGCACAGTCCTAAGTCTTCCATCACAAAGACAAGGGAGTCCTTCCTGAAGGAGAGGAGAAGCTGCAGGTTGCTGGCTGCTGTCTCCCCTCCTTCACCACCAGGAGGGAAAGCTCATCAGTATGTGAGGTCATCTTCAAGCCAGCAGCAGAGAGGCGCCTCCCGGGAGCCTGGTCTAATTGCTGGCAGCAAACTTCAGAGCAGAATGGAGGTTCTGGAAAGTGTTCAGAGAAGAACATCAGACAGACACAGGCTAATAAAACAGGTAGCCCTGGGGAGAAAAGGAGTTAAAGGAAGGAGGTGACTTCGCCTCCAGAAACCTTTCACAAGTGAAAGACTGTCGCTGCCAAGGTGAAGGGGTTCTGCACGGAAAGTTAGAGACGGCTGTCCTGTAACTAGTCTCCCCCAATGTGCCACAGGAACTCTCTAGGGAGCTGAAGAGCAGAGTAAGGTTGACGCCAGCCCAGATGGTCTCCCATTGCTTCCTATGCATCTGAAACGTACACAGTGAATAAGGAAGGCTTGATGCCTATGAACTGTGGTGTCAGAGGAGAGTACTGAACATCCTACGGACTGTCGAAAGAATAAACACGTCTGTCCTGGAGGAAGTGAAACCAAGGTGCCCCTTGGAGGCAAGGATGGTGAAATTCCATCTCATATGCTTTGAGCAAACTGGGGTTTTTTGTGGTGGTGGTGTTTTTTTCCCCTACGAAATAATTGCGTATTTTATTCTTCATAAACTTCTATCCTGTTTTTTCTTCTTCTCCTCCTCCTCTTCCTTCTTTTTTCCTACTAGTTTATTGAGCAAACTGTTAGGAGAGGTCAGTCCTTGGAAAAAGACATCACGCTGGAGAAAATGGAGGGTCCGTGAAAGAGGAAACTCCTCACTAAAACACATTAACACGGTGATTGTAACAATTGGCTCGGATATACTGGGGGTCATGAGGGTGGCTGAGGACAGGCCGAGGTTTAGGTCTGCTGTTCACAGGGTGACCGTGAGTTGTCGTCAACTCAACAGCATTGAACAACAACGTGCCACTGAAGTTTATGTCACCCGAGATAGATGGGATATGTATGCGAAAGTTGGAGTGTCATTAAAATTCTAGGGAAAAAAAAAGCTTCCTTAACATGACGTGGGTCCTCCAGATCAGGGGACACAAGCGAGTATCAGCTGCCACCAGTCCCATCTTTAACAACACAGCAGGAATGTACGTAGACTAAAAAGTATGTTAATAAAAGGATGTTTATGCAGTGCTAGAGGCTGGATCGCATCTGTTGCTTTCTGACTCTCTTCTGTAGCCAGAGAATCCCCCTCCTTCCTAACAGATTGTTGCTTGAGGTTTTAATGCAAACAATTAAAGGGAGAGAAGTTCTGGTCGAAGCCACTCATGGTGCAGCAAGTGTCCTGAGACCCAGAGGAGGGTCTGGGACCAGAGCAATCCAGAGAGAAACCCTGGCCTGGTGCTCTGTCTTCACTCTCTGGGGCAGAAGGAAAGGAGGGGGCACACCACTCATCCCGCCCGGCTGCTTGTGTTTTCATTCTGAATGTATCTGTGTCACTGTCACTTAGGTCAGAGACACACAGCTTCCTCTCTTAAAGGCATCTGATTTCCAGTTTTACTTGCTATGTTTTTCATAAAGCTACTTTTCCACACTCCAGAAACATTTAATCTCTCCCCTTATGACTTAAACAGCATAGTGAGGTAAAATTCCCCCCCCCCGCTTCCTCCTTTATCTCACATACTTTGGGCATCTGTCAGGAAGGGGTCAGTTCCTAGAGATGGATATCATGCTTGGAAAAGTAGATGGTCCGAGAAGGAGAGGAAGACCTCACCAAGTTGGAAGAGCCAAGCAGCTGCAATTGTGGGCACAACAGGGATTCTGAGGATGGTGCCAGGCTGCTTGTACCTGACATCACTATGAGTCAAAGTCAAGGTCATAGCACTTAAAAACGACTATGCAGGTAGCCACTCTCGTCCACACCACTGTACTGGCTTGACTTCAAAATGCCAAAAGGTCACTACGCTACCTTCCTGGCCAAAAGAAGTACTTAAAAAAGGGTTAATGGGTCTCAGCATAGATATATTCAAGAAAAATAAGGCTACATGTTCAGCCAATTCTCAGATATTCAGAGGTGAACCATTTGATCTATTCTTCCAAAGGTTTGGGGGAGGACTGTCAGGTGCTAGCAGGTATGTCAGGTACTGGAATTTTCCAGTTGTCAATGTCTCAGTCTTCTTCCTCCTTTGTCTTTCCAGGAGTCCTGGTGATAGAGTGGGTTACACGTTAGGTTGGTGGTTCAAATCCACCAGCCAATCTGGAGGGGAGGCACTCTGCTCCACTAAGCTTTACAGGCTGGGTAACTAGATGGAGGGCTGCTGAGAGACAGAGTGGGCTTGACCTTGACAGCGGTGGATGGGATTTGGTCTTTCTAAGACTCATTTCACTAGTCACTAGTCTTTTTTCCAGAAAATTGGAAGGGAACGGGGAGAACGTGTAACCTAGCAAGTTGGGGTCTCAAACTTAAGTTTGATTCACAGAAAGAGAAACCCAGCTACTGGCTTGAGTATGAATGAAGAAGAAAAAGAAGAAAATGGGTGTAAGGAGGGAAAGGATGGGAGGGAGGGGAAGCGAAGGAGGAGGAGGACGGACCAGATTGTTCATCTTTTACAAGCCAGGTATAACGGTAGCCCAATTACGTGCCTTGCAATTCCTACAACTCTCAGTCCCATTGTGTAATTTCCATAAATGATAAACCCTAGACCAAGAGAAGTGAAAATGAGCCCAAATCATTCAAAATAAGTGCCAACTTAATATAGGACCCAGACTCACGGGAGCTAACAGCCCCCTAGCAAAGACATGAGGCTGGCAGGATCTTGCCTTGATGCCATCTCCATTTCTACACAGTGTTTTCTATTGGGTGGGTGGTCTAGAACATTCTCCTATCCAATCACACCTCAGTAAGCAGAGGCCTGGCTAGCCTAATGCTCCCCAAACGCATGATGGCCATGCATTCAGACGTAACATCAATCTACAGGAAACAACAAGGCGGTCTGGCAGCGAGCACTCTGGTTAAGTGCTCAGCCACTCAGAGGCTGCCGTTCTCATCCACCAGGTCTGCATGGGAGGAAGTCTGGTTCCGTAAAGATCTACAGACTTAGAAACCCTATAAGTTGTTCTCCTTTGTCCCAGAGGGTTGAGGTGAGTCAGACTCGCCTCAACTGTAGTTTGGGTTTGGATTGTTCAAACAGAAGGAAATGCCATGGCACCATGGCTCTCACACTCAAATGCCAATCAAAAGACTGCCAACTGGAACACCAGTCGCTCCTTGGGAGAAGGATGGGACTGTCTGCATCCATAAACATTATAGTCGCGGAAACTCCGTGGGGTGTTTTACCCTCTCCCATAGGGTGGCAAGGAGTCAGTGTCAGAATGGATTCAACAGCACAGGAAATAGTATAAAGGATCAGACCAGAGGGAGCGGCAGGGCTGAGCCCACAGCACAATCGACAAGAGACCATCTGTTGACACTCGTGAAGGCCTTTGCTTAACAAGGTGTGCAAGGAAACCACCCCTATTCCATTCTGTTCTATAAACCCAACTCTGACTGGCACGGTCATGAGAGGCTGCGTCCAACTGAAGTGCCGTCACCCAGTTCAAGAAGAAACGTATGAGGGGACAGAATCACTGGCTGGGAGCCTGTCACTTCTGGAAGGAAGCCTTTCTGCTGTCCAAACATTCAAGGTTGAGTCCCAGAGGCTGGTGCCATGAGAGGTGCCTTGTACTTGCCTTCACACAGCTTAATCTTCTCCTCCACAAAGAACAGTCCTTTTGCAAGAAGCTGGTTCTGCCAAGAGAACAAAGGATAGCCCATCAACAAACAAATGGAGAGAGAAGCTGTGGTATATCCACACAATGGAATACTATGCTGCATTGACAAACAAGGAACTCATGCAATATTATTAAAAATGGGTGATCCTGGAGAACATTATGCTGAGTGAAATATCTCAGTCACAAAAGGACAAATACTGCATAGTGCCACTGTTGTAGAATGTGACTGACATCAGGGTTGGGGTGTTGTTGTTGTTATGTGCCGTCGAGTCGCCTGCGACTCATAGCGACCCGTAAGACTGAGAAAAACTGGATAGATTATGTACACTGCATTGAAATGGATGAGGGAGAGAACAGTTTAAAAATGATATATGATAGGGTATTATGGTTATTACAAGAGTCCAGAATGAAGGTGGCAGAGTGGAGTATACTTGGGGTGGGGGTGGGGGGGTGCAGGGGGATTGTACATCAATGAAGGAATTTTACTTTTCAAGGAGAGGAGAGAACGGGGGAGGGGAGGGGTGGGCAGGGAGAAAAGTGCAACAATGAATGAATGGAAATCTAAAATCTCTATAAATGTTCATTAAAATTAATAAAATATTTTTTATTTTGTTTTAAAAAAGGAAAGAACAAAGGATATAAGAGTCGGGCTAGCTCGGCATGCCATGATAAACCACCTTCCATTCTCAACGGGCAAGGGCAGAGTTCTAGGAAGTTGTGTGTCATAGACTCCAGCCTTCAAATCTAAGAAGCCTTTTGTCCTCTCAAAGGCTATGGCCTCAGAAAGACCATGAGACATTCCATAGCAAAGAGGAAGACTGGAGTTACATGCAGCCAAGCCCCTCCCCACCCCATACCAGGCAAAAAGCTGTGTCTGGCTGAATCCACTTTTAAAAAATTGTGATTTTAACTGAATTCACTATTGAAGACACTCAATGTCAATGCCTCTGGACTGTGGTGTCGGTGTAGAACATGCGCTGATAAATGAACAAATGAACCTGTCTTAGCAGAAGTGCAGCCAAAAGCTCCTGAGAAGTGAGGCTGGGCGACTTCCTACGCCTGGGACATGGTATCAGGAAGGACCAATCCCTGGAGAAGGGCATCCAGCTCGGGAGCGCAGGGGGTCAGGGAGAAAGAAGAGGACCTACAAGGACGTGGACTGACACAGTGACGGCAGCAAAGAGGCCAAGCACAGGTTAGGTTGTGAGGGCGGCGCAGGGCCAGGCAGCTTTTCACGCACGCAGACGCAGGTTGGCTAGGAGAGATTCATGTGGGCATCTAGTAACAGCGACATCCTTCAAGCCCTAAACGATCCCTGCTCAGGAAAGGGAGCGTGGAAGTAGTGGGAAACGATACAGAGATAGTGTTCTTGTTGTTATTAGGTGCCGTCGAGTCCACCTCGCCTCATTAAAACCTTGAGAACAACAGACGGGAACCCGGCCCTCTCCTTTGCCATCCTCAGCATCTCCACCAGGCTCAGGCCCACTGCTGCAGACACTGGCCAGTTCATCCTGTTGGACATCTTCCTCTCCTTGCTTGACCCCGTTACCTTTCCCAGAAAGAAGAGCTATATCTGAAGACAGATACAGTGAGGGGTTTTCACCCCAGCATGAAAGGGATTACATGCAACATCTCTGGCAACAGAGAGCACGTGTTCACCAATGAGTGAGTGAGTGAGTGAGTGAGTGTGTGTAAAAAAAAGTTAGGGACTGCTGGTTTGTTTCACACCTCCCCCCCCAATGGTAACTAACACTTGTGAAGTGTTCTGTGTATCTCAGAGGCTTTTCTTGCTTTGTTTCATTGAATTCAACCCACCCAGTGAGCATAACAGATGGTTGATAACTATCCTTACTTGATTGTGAGCCGGTGGAGAACACAACCTTCCTCCTGTCTCCTTCTTGGCTGGACCACACTGACAACCCCCTCCCCCTCCAGAAGGCTCCAAGCCAAAATACAGTTACACAGAAGAGTAGCCACCTAGAAAATGATCTTGAACTGGGAGCTAGGCCCACTGTTACTTAATGCATCACCCCCTCCAGCCCCATAAATGAACTCAGACACGGAATAAACAACACGCAAATGAAGTGGCAGAGAACCTGGGAAGTGAGAAACAGCTGATATGCTTCTTTCCCTATGACAGAGGAAAAATGGGCTGTTAACTGAAAAATGAGGCTCAGCTAGGAAAAATGGAAACAAGAAGGTCTGGAGAAAGTTATCCCACAATACCATGTCTCGTAGGGAGGACACTCAGCTTATCCTGAAAAAATCCTATGGGACAGAGAGGAGGAAGTGGCAGGAGGCAGAGGAGAGGCTGGGCTTTTGTGGCTTGCTTTGAGATTGCCAACAGTGTTTACCTCCCATCAATTAGGACCTCCTTAACCCAGCTACAGGGACCCAGATAAATGGATAACCAGGTAGGGGAGTGGGGAGGGACAGACGGTACTCATATCACCTCCCAGAGAGAACTTTCCAAACCTACAAGGACTCTGTAAACCATTTCTAGGGCTTCACTGGCAGAGATGAGGATGATAATAAAAAGAAACTTGATGATAAGGTCATTTAATGGTTTTTCCTCCATCAAACACTTACTAAGCCCTTTTCAGGAATTATCAAATTTAATCTTTGCCACCAATTCATTCTTAGTTCACAAAGAAATTGTGGCTCCAAGAAGCAGGTGCATAACTTATAACTGTAAAGCCAAAATTAGCACCCAGGCTGATGTGAACTCAAACCCATGCTCTCCCCTGTTAATGTCTTTGGTTTACTTTAGCAGTAAAAATAACAATATTAAGATATTAATTTCATATCACATACTTTGGGCATGTTGTCAGGAGAGACAAGGTCTTGGGAAAGGTGGAGAGTGAGAGAGAGAAAGAGGACGATACTCAGGAAGGTGGAGTGACGTGGCGACTGTGACAGTGGCCTTGAGCGTCCCAGAGCTCTTAGGATAATGCAAGGCTCATATCTGTCGCTGACAGAAGAGTTGACTCGATGGTACGTAACAGTAACAGCAACAGCAGCCATCATTCGCTGACTCCTCACTATACTACACTCCAAGCCCTTTGCATATGTCACTTCATTTAGTAATTCCATCAACCCAAGGAAGTATGTGCCATGATTAAAGCTTTCTCAGTGGAGGCATACCTCATTTTATTATACTCTGAAGATATTCTGATTTTGTTGTTTTTTGTTGTTGATTGCCTTCGATTCGAACACAACTCATCGTGACCCTATGAACCAAAGGCTGAACGCTCTGAAGATATTTCTGATTTTGTTGTTGTTGTTGATTGCCTTCCAGTCAAGCACGATTCATAGTGACCCTATGACCCAAAGACCTGAAGCCCCTCTACAACTCTCGACAGTTACCAAATGTCTTAGTGTTTCTGGAGACATGCTGTTTAGGAAGTGGATGCCTCTCCTGCTTCCATGCATATATCTATGCCTGTATCTTTTCCCAAAGAACAAGTCCTTCATACTTTCCAGCACACCACTGCACGAGGGTAACATCATTCCTCCAGAAAGTGTAACCCCTTCCCAACACCCAACAAACCATGAAGTTCTAAGTTGTGGGTGTTTAAAGTCTGCCCAAAGCAAAGAGAGACTTAAGCACTAGAGAGAAAGCAGTGGTCTTCCCCTTGAGACTTCCCCTTCTCCTCTACAGACCTCAGTTTTCCCAAAGCCTCCCCACACCTACACACCTCGAAATGCACTGCAACCCTGCCATGAAAAAGAACTTTTAGTACTATTTTCCCAAATTGCATGACCTTATTTCATGTCTAAATCACATGTTGGTAAAATCTCACAGTGGTCTGAATTTTTTTCATCATGTTAGTGCACACTTTCTAGACTACAAGTTGGTGTAAATACAACTTTCCTATGTACCAAGAAACTGTAAGCTCCACTGGAATCCAGGCTCACCGCACCCAGCAGAAGGCAGGGCCTCTTAGCCATCATGTTCCCCTGCCCTGCCTGCTGAAGAGGTCTTTTCTGTCCCTGCTCACTGGGAAGAGACATGAGACCTGCCTCAGGCTCACAGGTACTGTGGGCACTTGAGTTGACAATCTCTGGCCACGGAACTCGGCTCTGTGTCAAAGCTTCCATGCAGCTGGGTCCCCTGTACTTCCCATTCTTGCTATCTATTTGTTTCCCAAGTTCCACTCTATAGAGGCAATTTCCCAGGTCTTCCTGACCATTAGTTCTATTAACCATCACTGAGTTGATTCTCACTCATGGTGATCCCATGTATACAAAGTAGAACCAGTCCATAAAGTCTTCAGTGTTGTGATCTCTCGGAAGCAGACTGCCAGGGTTATGGATGAGTTTGAACTGTCAACCTCTCAGCTAATAGTTGCACACTTAATTGTTTATGGTATCCAAGCACACTTCCTATCACTACCCTCACTCAATGGCTAGTAGAGTGACCATAGGTGTTTCCAGTGAATTCTCAAATGGGACATTAAATCCACCCCAGCAGAGTATGGTCGTCTTGTCATACTGCCAATCAAGAACTTGTGTGAGTCAAGCATTCCATCCCGTGCATTTGAAGAATTCCAGCCACTTCTACCAAGGTTCTTGTTCCTGGCCCATGACACGAGTTATGGGTCACCCCATCTTTCTCCTACATGTCTCTGAAAGGACAGCAATCATCTCTAACAATGTCTATACCGTCTGTGGAGCAGGACACCTTAAAAAACAAAGCACCAATCACAGCAGAGAGTCTTACAAACACAAATCACCCCCAGGCCCAGAAAGTCCCTAAGAAATCGCATCCCATGAGATTTCATACAGCGGGACCAGGGGGAGATTGCTGCTATTCTGCTGATTCTGTAGTTAGCATTAATTTCAGTAATAATTAACAAAATGAGCCTGAGATTTAAAAAACACATATTTTATAGAAAACAAACAGTCCAGACCTAATTTCCTGTATACTTAAAAACAAAATCAAACCCGAAACGCACTCTAATTTCTCAATGAATATTGAATGTACTTAATAGTTAATGTATACTCCAACAGATT